ATCCTCTGGGGATTCATTGTGTTTTTTATTATTATTTTTTAATGTTGTTTGAGATTATGGGGAAGAAAGAAGGTTAATGTGGGATAAGACTTATGATGGGGTATAGTTTTCCAACAAAATTTTCACTGGGCAGCTCTTATTACCCTTTAAGAATAAGCTGGTGTATTACCATGATGGATGAAAAAATTCTGCAGATGAAAAATTTCTGTCTTTTTTCTCACCAATTTTCTTAAAACTTTTTCTTAACAATCTTTTATGATCAGCCTGTGTCCTTTGATAAAATCTATCCCATTTGGGATCCCAAAATACAGTCACCTTACTTTCTGAATTGACCTCTCTGCTTTTAGTTTAACTGGTCTCACAGATCATTCTGGAAGCCATTCTTTTTCTTGTTTTGAAGTGCTGTCAAGTTGGTTTCGACTCATAGCGACCCTATACAGAGTTTCCAACGAATGGCTAGTGACTTTGAACCACAGACTTTGTGGTTCAATCTGACCTTGCAATATAGTGCTTTATTCCATCCCCACACCAGGACTTTCGCTAACATGTCTGAAAATAAGAGTGATGAAATCTTGCCATCCTGGCCTTAAAAAAGTATGGTCTATTAAGAGCAATTGAAGTATGGTGTAATAATTGTTCTTATTAGACCATATTTGTAGAGAATAGGGTGGCAAGATTTCGTCCCTGATATTTTAGACATATTATCAGGAAGTACCAGTAATGCTTTGTGTTTTAGGTGAAGCTCTCTTGAGAAGTGGAACCAGTGAAACTTATGTATGTATTATATATAAAGAGAAGTTTATATCAAAATCCTATTCACAATTGTAAGTCGGAGAGTCCCAAGTTCAAGTCAGATGAACAAAGATACTCAGATAGACAAGCAGACATGCATGTTTGGCAGATAAGAAGATAGGCTGCTGATGGCTCCCAGGATTGAAAAGTAGTGGAACAGGCCACTGTCCAAAGAATTGGATGTCAGAAGATGAGCCAGATGCAAGATCCAACCAGACCCAGCAGAAAACAAACAAGCTTTGCCTGAATGTCTAATATACTGGAAGCAGGCCACACACCCAAGGGAATAGTCTTTCTTTTAAGTTTTTATTATTAATTGATTGTTAGATTACATGGGATAACATTGGTTTTACACTCATCTTTTCATTACAATGATGACAAGCTCCTCTGTGCATCATCATTCAACAGTATTTGCTTCTAACCCCTTTTTTATTTTTGGATTACACAAAAAATCTCAGGAATATGCAATCATTTAAGCAATGAAAAGGCACATTCTACAAGCCTGCCTCCTGGCCACCAGCACACAGCCTTTCTCTTTCCATGGGTCTAGAGTCCTTGCCTGCTCTCCATAACCTCATCTCTACCTCCTTCTCAGGTGTTGCTACTTCTCTGGATAGGGTTCCACATTCTGCTCATGTTCTTCTCCCTTGATGGTCCTAAGATCCTCTGTTCCTGGAATGTAAGAATTAACTACTCCCCTTTTTTGTTACAAAACTTCTATCTTTACAGTTGTGACAGTTGATATCGGTCATATAACAATTATTCACTATTGAATCATAAGAATCTTATCCCCATCTCCTTTCACCACACCTGTCTAACCAAGAGAAAACTATTCAGTGGGGATTCTGCTTTCCCCCACATACTCTGAAACTAAACTCCTCTTGAAAACTTGTAAGTCAGTCACTTCATGCCTTTATAGTTCTCCCCATTTTAGGTAGCCAGTGTCTAAGTTGCCTGTCCCTATCAATCCTGTATACAGAGGGGTTAGGAGTGATCCTTGATGTGAAGACTCCTTCCATCTCAGTTAGTATTTTAAACTACTATATCCATAATGTATACAAAGGGGATAGGAGTGATCCTTGATGTGAAGACGCCTTCCCTCTCAGTTGGTATTTTGAGCTACTACAACCATGTTGTTGTTGTTAAGTGCTGTCGAGTTGGTTCCGACCCATAGCGACCCTATACAGGGTTTCCAAGGGTGTAAATCCTTACGGGAGTAGAAAGCCTCATATTTCTCCCGCGGAGCGGCTGGTAGTTTCGAACCGCTGACCTTAAGGTTCGCAGCCCGATTCGTAACCACTACGCTACCAGAGTCAAGTTCATCAAAGTGTACCAATTTATACTTGTTTCCTTTATCACAAATTGTGGGTTTTTTTATCTTCCTCTAGTCATGTTCTGATCATCGAGCCATCAAAGCTAGGTCAAATGGGTACAATCTACAAGTTTGGGCATTCTTGTGCGTCTCCCCTCACTTTATGTCAGCTGGATGCTTCACTCTCAGTTCTAGCCCTCCATAGCTATGTCCTTGTCCGTGGGCTCACAAGTCTCCAGGTCTCACCACACTCAGACCAGCCAGTCCTTCCTCTTCTCTCTCTCATCTCCTAGTCGACAGTAGTCTGTGGAATGTGGTCTAACTCAGCCCATGTCTTCATTGCTGCTTTTCCCCCTCTTCTACTCACTTGCAGATCAATGATGTCGCCAGAAAGTTTACATGCCTGCTCGTATGTTCCCTTTGAGTTTCAGTCTTGGAGCAGGGTTTGTCCTGAAGGGACTTTATTGCTTGCCTTGATGGCTCCCCGCCGAACAACTTGCTTATTCTTGTAGTAGCCAATCAGATTGCCATTTTTGTTTAAGATTTTTCCTTCTGATGTTTTCTTTCAAGAAGTATCTGTGTTCCTTTATCTGCTCTAGGCTGGTCTGGTTGTTCTTTCAAGTAGAAATGTCCCATCTCAGAAGGTTCTGGATGGGGCTCAGGATTCCATGTAAGAGCCTGTATGCTATCAATACTCTGCAAGAAGCCTATTTCACTGGGAACATTCTAGAATCCCTTTTAGGTATTCTGGTCATGAGCTTACAAGCTTTCTATAATCAAGGAACATCCTTTCAATTGATTCGTTATTGTATAGCAGAACTCATCTTAGATCTCATTATGGGGATAACTACATCTTAACTGAAAATTCTGGCCCCGTCATGTTGACATAAAACCTTAAGTATCACTGTCTACCACTTGTCAATTCGATCTGCTGGTCATGTGGTCCAAGTGGCAGAGTGGCTTGCAAGGCAGTCTGAGCCTGTTGCAGAGCCTTCTCTTGTTCTGGTACCACTCAAAATTAGAAGCTTTTCAAGTAAATTAATTAATGGGCCAGAGTGGTGGTGATGTACTGTGCTGTGGAATTGGATCCAACTCATAGTGACCTTGTGTAGGTTTTCCAAGACTATAAATCTTTACAGGAGTAGAATAATACACCCAAATGAAGGATATGTTGCCTCCAAAATTGAAATCGGCCTACCAGGCATTATGCTTCTTTTCTAGATGTGGGAGGGCTAGATGCAATAACTCATCCTTCACTTAGTAGGGATAGCTCAACATTAGCAACATCGCTGAACTTCTAGAAATTTCACTACGGTGAGAGGTGCTTAAATTTTTAGTAGGTAAATTCCCCACCATCTAGCATTCAGATGTTGTACCAATAAGTCTAGAGTCATTGATAACTTCTTTCTCACTAGATCCAATTAACATAATGTCATTCTAAGTGATCTAGCAAAGTTGTGATCTCATTCCTGTTCTTGATAATTTCTTAAATCCATATCCTGAAAAAAATCTGTGTTTTATTTTTACTTTACACATACATGTATGTCTTTTTTTTTTTATTTAGGAATATGATTTCTCTGCCTTGTTAGACCATTAATTCATTGGGAAAAACACAGCAAAGGAAGAAATAATCACTATCTATTTTATTTCAGCTCATGGCAACTCCATGTGCATTGGAGTATAACTGTACTCCACAGGGTTTTTAATGGCTGTGACCTTTTTGTTGCCAAGCCTTTCTGCCAAGGTGCTTGTACATAAATTTGAATCACCAGCCTTTTGGATATTAGTTGATCAGTGAACTGTCCAAACTCATAATAAACTCAATAATATATACTGACTATATGAGTGATTTATTCAGTACTTCTGTATGTCAGTTAATGAGCTCTGATGTCACTATAATACTGTTGGATTGGTAGCCATATGGTTGGAGGTTCAAATCCACCAGCATCTCTTTAGGAGAGAGATGAGGCTCTCTGTTCCTAGGACGATTTACAGGCTTGGAAACTCTAGACATGGTGTTGCCAGTGTTGGGATTGACTGGATGTCATTGGGTTTACTTTTTTGCTTTAATTCTTCACCTCATCATTTACCACCTTGATTATTTTGTAGTTCTGATGTCAGATGTCCTTCCAATTATTAGTAGAATCATTCTTCTTCAAAACTACCGTTATAAGTTATCTCCCCTAAAACCCTCTTTTCCTTATAGGATAAAATCTTCATTCATTTTTGCCAAGCCATCCCTAACCTCTTGCTTTAAATGTACAGTGTCTTAGTCTGTGTTCTCTAGAGAAGCAAAACCAGTTAAGCTTATATATAAAGAGAGGTTTCTATCAAGGAAATGGCTCACACAGTTGTTGTTGTTGTGTCCCGTGGAGTCCATTCTGACTCACAGTGACCCTGCACAGGGTTTCTAAGCCTGTAAATCTTTACGGGAGCAGAAAGCCTCATCTTTCTCCCACGGAACAGCTGGTAGTTTTGAACTGCTGACCTTGTGGATCGCAGCTCTAAATACCACCCATACCCATTTGTAGGATTAGTAGACATTTACTAGGGTTGGACATGTACTTCAATCAGTGTTTTTCTAATTGATGTAGATGGTTCAGGAAACACTTTGTTGGTATTCAAAGTTAGTCTTTCTGTATTCAGTGCCTACCACCACATCTGATGCCTAGCACCGTGTCTACGATATAGTAAAAATATGGATGGAATGATGAAAGATGGCAAATAAGATTTAAAACAATACTATTAATCACACCTCTTCCTTTGTATCGATGTTTTGTAACATAGAATAGTTTCGATAAAAAGATTTTTTTTTCCCTTTGGTATAATTTTCTCCTTAATATACAGATAAACATTTATAAGGACACTGAAAGATTGTTGTTTTCTTTTTATCCAGGGGCCTGAATTAATGAATAAATATGTTGGTGAATCTGAAAGAGCAGTTAGAGAGGTAAGGTGATTCTGCGCTAAGGGGAACTCTGCATAATGAATCACATTTCTATCCTTCTGTGTGGTTTTCTTTTAATTTTTTCTTTCATATGAGTTATTTATTGTTGGACTTTGAAATTTCTAAATAAAAATTTCTAGTGATGCATTTTTTTTGCGGGTGGCACAATATTGTTTTGTTCCAAAAAATGCAGCTTTGATCGTCTGGAGTACTTTGTTGTTTTTTGAACATGTCTTGTAGTTTCACTAAATAAAGCTACCTTTAAAAAGAAACAAACAAAAACTCTCTGCTTAGTTAAAAAAAAAAAAAAAGCATATATACACCTACAGTGGAGAATGCACACTTTCAATAAGATTTAAATCCTTGAAACAGGACAACCCTTTAAATTGAATAAATTTAATACAGTGAAACCCATGAGAGGCTGAACTCAATGGGACTGCCTGACCTTTCCAGGTCTTGCAAGTTCTCCAGCTTAGACAGGGTGTAGTCTTACCACTTTCCATCACTTGTTTTCGTGGAAAATATTTATGTTTTCCTCTCTGACAGATTCCTCCCTTACTCAGGTTAGAGCTATTGCAGATTTCCTGGGAAAAGCTGACCCTGTGTAAGGTGGACACCTATCAAGGAAGGAAAATTCAAATATTTCCCTCTGATAGAGTGAAAGGAAAGTGGTTACAAGTGTACCCTGTAAAGGCAGAACTTTGCAAGACTCGGAAAAACAAGGCAGTGCCATAGATTTACAGCTATCACACATTTTACTGTACAAGGGGCTTCAAAAAGTTAGTGGGAAAGTAGAATTACAGATAATGGAATTTTTAAGAAACTTTTTGTGAGTAGAGTGAAGATTTACATTCAACAAATCATACATGTTGCAGCTCAGTGATGGCACTTCTCTCTGTATAATAGCAGTTACCCATTTTCTCCAATACTTATTATTTCCAGTCCACCCTCATTCTTACTCCTTCTCAACTCATATCCTTAGGCAAATGTTGCCCTTTTGCTCTTGAATGGATGACATTTCTATGGTGAGCAAACCTCACTAGTGTTGTTGTCCCTCCCCTCTTATACCTATCCACTGCTTGGGAGAAAATTGGGCCATGAGAGTGAGTTCTGATCCAGACCTAAAGGGTAGCCCAATGTCATAGTCTCAGTTTCCTTCAGTTTCTTTCCAACCAGTGTAAGTGTGGTCATTTTTTTTTGGTACTTTAGTGGTTAATTTCACATTGTTTCCTACTCTATCCGGGACCTTCTAATGTGATTCCTTTTAGAACAGTTGGCAATGGGGTACCACATAGTTCTTCTGGTCTCAGAGTTGTGGTGACTGATGTTCACATATTCTTCTGATCCACTGGATAAATTAATCCCAAGCAACTTTAGTTTTCATCACTCTTCTTTCTTCCTCACATGGAAAAGACCAATAGTTGCACCTTAGGTGGCCACTCATGCATGAGCTTTTAAGATCCCAGTTGGTATTCATCAAAGTAAGATATAGAACATGGTCTTTGTGAACTATGTTATGCCAATTGACCAAATTGTCCCCTGAGACTATGGTTCTGAACACCAAGGCACAGAAACTCATTGTCTTTAGATGTTTAGTAATATCTAAAAAGTTTTCCTCATTTTGACCCCTGTGTACACCACCATATTCATAGATATGTTTGCAGCAAAGGTACCCAAGTACAAATACCCTCTTTCAAACTCCTATGTTTGTGAGTATACTTCGATTCGTCCTCTCATACCTGTTCAGCCTGTGTATCTGTCCATATATCTATGTGTAGAAAATGGTTGTTCCAGGGTTGTATATATAACAGTATTTACCTCTATCCCCTTTAACCCTTGTATTCTTATCTGTTTTCTTACCTGTCTTCATCATTCTTCTGCCACCCTCCCTCTTCTTGTATATTGCCCTCCCCATCTCCCAAGTTAACGTGTATCTAATCTCTAGCTAGGGAATTATTCCCCCTTCCCTCTCCTTCCCTTCTCTTCCACTCATGGCAGTCATCAAATAATGTTTGTTTTAGCATGAAAACATTTTCTTGAGTTTGCATTATTTATTTATTTATTTTACAATATTTGTCCTTTTGTGTTTGACTAATTTCACTCAGCATAATATCCTCCAGGTTCATCCATGTTATGAGGTGTTTCGCAGGTTCGTGGTTATCTTCAACATTTTGATGTATTTTATATGTATGTATACCACAGCTTATTTATCCATTCTTCCACTGATGCATATTTAGGCTATCTCCATCTTTTTGTTGTTGTGAGCAGTACTTTGATGAACTTGGGTGTACTTATATCTATTCATCTCATGGCATTTATTTCATGGAAATGTATTCCAAGTAGGGGGATTGCTAGGAGTCCTGGTGTGACTAGAAGTGGTCTGGTGCTGAAGGATAAACACCAGTGTGCAAGGTCGGTTTGAACCACAGATTGCTGATTCAAACTTACTAGCTGCTCCTCAGAAACCCTACATAGGGTCGCTATGAGTTGGAACGGACTCGACAACACTTATCAACAACAGAAGGATTGAAACACTGCCAAGTTCTGTCATAGTCTTTGCTTTGTTTGAGCACATTATTGCATTCACTGGGTCAGTTCACATCATTGAGGGTCTTAGTCTGTTTTGCTGACCCTTTACTTACCAAGCATGATGTCCTTCTCCAGTAACTGGTCCCTCTTTATAACATATCCAAAATGTGTGAGACAAAGTCTGGCCATCCTTGCTTCTTAGGAGGGTTCTGACTGTACTTCTTCCAAGATAAATTTTTTAGGTTTTCTGGCAGATTATTGCATATTCAATATTCCCTGTCAATGCCATAATTAAAAAGAAGATGAAAACTTTATAATGACTTTGTCACCATTGATTAAAATGTGAAAATGCCAGTATTTATTATTAACGTTTTGGTAACTTGTTTTGTATTTTTATAGTCATATTGCGGAGGTGTTATCATTCATTGGTCACATGTTTGTACGCTAGTGACTTGCATGTTGTTGTGATTTTGGAAGCTATGCAACCGGTATTGTCAATACTAGCAATGTCAAAATAGTGGACAGGTTTCAGCTGAGATTTCAGATTAAGCATGCTAAGAAGAAGGAGAGGCAGACTACTTTATGAACGTTTAGCCACTGAAACCTGAATAGCAGTAGAACTTTGTCAGATATAGTGCTGGAATATGAAAATATTATCAATAGTACCCAAATATTTTCAGATAACAGTGCTGGAAGATGAGTCCTTCAGATTAGAAGGCACACAAAATATGACTGGGGATTCACTGCTTCCTCAAAGTAGAGTTGATGGTGATTGACCGTGATGTTGCAAATGTAAAGCTTTTGGGACCTTCGTTTGCTGATGGGCTTGACTCAAAATGAGGAAAAACAACTGCAAACATCCATTAATAATTGGAACATAGAATGTATGAAGTATGAATGTAGGAAAATTAGAAGTCATTAGAAATGAAGTGGAATGCATAAATGTTGATACACTAGACATTAGTGAGCTAAAATAGACTGGTATTGGCTATTTTGTATCTGATAGTCATATGGCGTATTATGCTTGGGATGACAAACTGAAGAGGAATTGTGCCACATTCATCATGAAAAAGAATATTTCAAGGTTTGTCTCGGAGTACAAGTACTGTCTGTGATAGAAAAATATCTGTACGCCTGCAAGGGAAACCCGTTAATACCACAACTATTCATGATTACCCTAGCCACTAAGGCCAGTGATGATAAAATAGAAGAATTCTACTAACTTCTTCAATCTGAAATTAATCAAAAATGTGATCAAGATGTATTGATAATTTCTTATAATTGGGATGCTAAAGTTGAAGAGAAGAATAAGGATCAATGTTTTGAATATATGGCCTAGGCAATGGAAATGATACTGTGGATAGCATGAAATAATTTTGGAAGGAATACATAGAGTCACGGTACCAAACACAAGTAGTTGATGTTCAACCATTTTAAGAGGTAGCATATGATCAAGAGCCAGTGGTACTGAAGGAAGAAATCCAAGCTGTACTGAAGGCCATGGCAAAGAACAAGGCTTTAGGAAGTGATGGAATGCAAATTTCAATCTTTCAACACACTGATGTAATACTGTAGACACTCATTTAGGCCAAGATATTTGGAAGACAGGTACCTAACCAACTGATTGAAAGAAATCCGTTTTTGTGCCCATTCCAAAGAGAGGTGGTCCAATGGAATTTGAAAATCATTAATATCATATACAAATACAATGTTCTTAAAGATAATTTTTAAATGGCTGCAACAGTTCATCGACAGGATACTTCCAATTCAATTGAGGATATTGAATGACAGAGATAATTGCTGATGTCAGATGGATCTTGGTTGAAAGTAGAGAATACCAGAAAGATGATTATCTGTGTTTTATTGACTTTGCAAAGACTATGGATCATGACAAGCTGTGGATAACACTGCAAATAATGGGTGTTCCAGAACATTTAATTGTGCTCTTGAGGAACCTGTACATATAGGCAGTCATGTAAATAGAAAAAAGTGACACTCAGTGGTTAAAAATGAGGAAAGATGTACACTAAGGTTGTATTTTTTCACATATGTATTCATTCTGTATGTGCTAAGCAAATAATCCTTGAAGCTAGATTATATGAAGCACATGATATTATGACTGGAAGAAAACATTAACAACCTGTGATATGCAAATGATTCAGTCTTGTTTGTTGGAAGCAGAAGGACTTAAAATACTTATGGATGAAGATCAAAGACCACAACCTTCAATGTGGTTTGTACCTCAATGTAAAGACAGCAAAAAACTCACAACTGGACCGATAAATAACATCATGATAAATAAAGGAAAGGTTGAAGTTGTGAAAGGCTTCATTTTGCTTTGGTATCTACTATGAACACTTATCAAAGCAGCAGTCAAAAAATCAAATGATGTATGTATTGCATTAGGCAAATCTGCTACACAACACCTCTTTAATGTATTTAAGAACAAAGATACCAGTTTGGGGACTAAGGTGTGCCTGATCCAAACCATGGTATTTTCAATAAACTTACGGGCTTCTGCAAGTTAGACAGTGAATAAGTAAGACCGTAGAAGAATTGATTCATTTGAGTTATCGTGTTAATAAAAGTACCGTGGAATGCCAGAAGAACAAACAAATCTGTTTTGGAAGAAAGTATAGCTATATCAAAAGAAGCCAGGATGGCAAGATTTCGTCTTTCACACTTCAGACATGTTATTAGGAGGTCCTAGACTCTAGAGGAGGACTTCACGTTTTGTAAAGTGGAGGGTCTTCGAAAAAGAGGAAAACCTCAGTAAGATGGATTTGCACAATGGCAAGAGCAAGAGGCACAAGTTTAATAACAGTTGTGAGGATAGCACAGGACTGGGCAGGGTTTTATTTTGTTGTTCATGTATAGATATGTGTCAGAACTGACTAGACGGAACCCAACAACTGAAATTGCTTAGGTGACACGTGTTCAAATTTCTATGTATGCTACCTCCTTCTAATTCATTTATACATTTTACCTTTTGGTCTTGTTTCAGGTGTTGGTTATCTATCTAGTTGACTTTTGTTAAAACTAACATGTAACGCTTATAATTTTTATCAGTTTCTGTTTTGTGTCCTGGCTTTACGTCAACCATAACTTTCCCTAAGAAATTTAGTACATATGGGTTAGGTATGTGGGCTTTGATTATGTTGTTATCCTTGTTAAGTGCCTGCGAGTTGGTTCTGACTCATAGCGATTCTGTGTAGAGTTTCTAGGGAGTGGGTGGTGAATTTGAAATGCTGACTTTGCAGTTCAAACCAACCTTGTGATCAAGTACATTATCCCGCAGCACCACACCAGGACTCCTTGGATATCTTATATTTTAATCTAAGATTGATTTTAAGCTTTCATGGTTGTTCTTTTAAACATATATTTATGATTATCAGTTATTATTGTTAAGTGCCATTGAGTTGGTTCAGACTCACAGCAACCCTGTATAGGGTTTTCCAGGAGCATTTGGTGAGTTTGAACTGCTAACCTTGGAATTTAAACCAGCCTTGTGGTTTTGTGCTTATCCTGCCTCTCATTTGCTGAGCTCTTAGATTTCACACGTGTGCCAAATTTTTCACTTTTTTAATTCAGTTCCTAATGTAGGCTTTTATGTTCTTAATGTAAATATTTATTGCTAATTCCTTTTCATAGATGCTGAAATTTATGTATAGAGAAGTAAAGTCATTTTATGAAGATTGCTTGGCTAGAAAGTAGTAGAACTAGAATTTTAATTAAAATTATCTTTCTAGCCTAACTGCTTAACTAAGCTGCCTCCTACACATCTATGGATTGGTAGTCTTTTCTCTTTTATGAGTAATGCGCTACACTGCAAAGTCGCTTAGAGCTGCAAGGTTGGCGGTTCAAGCTCACCAATTGCTCCTCGGAAACCCTATACAGGGTTACTATGGATCGAAACTGACTCAACTGCACTTAACAACAACCATGGAAAAACATACTTTGAAATCCATTATGAAGTTCTTCTTTGGCAACTATTACAGGTTGTACAAAGTGATCTAACTGGTTGACTACAACATAATAGAACTAGTGCTAAATTCAGTTTCAAGCTAAAATGAACTACAGAGTTTTATAGAGCTTATTGACCTTCAGCTAATGAGCCTCTCTCTCTCTCTCTCTATTAGATCTTCCGAAAAGCGAAAGCAGTGGCTCCTTCTATTCTTTTCTTTGATGAACTTGATGCCTTAGCAGTTGAAAGAGGCAGGTAAGAGCTATATAAGGACTATATATAGGATGCTTTTAATTCAAATTTTGTTTATTAATTTATTTGGCATAAAAGATAACTTTTCCTTTGTTATTACATGCTTTTTCTTAAAAAACACCAATATCCATGTTTCAGATATGAATTAATTATAATAATTTATTGTCTATAGAGAGCTTGAACAACTGCTTATCAAGCTTAGTGCTGTTATGTACATATATTTAATATGGTAAACAAAGTCGAACTGAGCATAATTGTTTAATATAGTAGAACCCAATTATCATAAAAGATGTTATTATACATGTTTTAATATTCTCTAGAATGAATCATGTTTCCTAATATATAGTTAAAATATAAAGTAGTTTTGATCTTTTTTGTTGTTGTTTTTGTCTACAGTTGTTTATTGGTCCTTTAAGTAATATACACTGCAAGTTCTTAGTGTTTGATAATGTTTATTTATATACTTTGTTCATAGCTTCTTCATATATATATTTATTAATGAATGCTTGCTGATGGTAATTACATTGTTAGAAACCAGCTTGTAAACCCTAATATCAAATGTGATATGAAGTGTTGCTGTTACCTTTCTTTCTGGATAGAGTTGCCTTATCTGATGAGTATATAAATATAGGATTTCTATCACTTGGGGGTTCAAACTCACCAGACATTTTGTAGGAGGAAGATGAGGCTGTCTGCTCTTGTGAAAATATAGTCTCAGAAACTGTGTATAAGTTGCTGTTGTCAGGTGCCATCGAGTTGGAACCGACTCATAGCGACCCCATGTACAGCAGAACGAAACAATGTCCGATCCTGGGCCAACCTCACTACCGCTGACACACTTGAGTCCATCAATGATGCCACCTGGCCAATCCATCTCGTTAG